TATTATAATTATATGATAGTATTTCAGAACAAATTCTCACTCGTGGATAGAAGTATTCATTAGTGATCTATCAACATTCTGGCCCTCGGTATAGCATCATCAAGTAGGGAATTTCGTACGTTTAATTATGAATTACATTAAACAAGTCTGAACTAGAAAATTAAAATAAATCTATTTCCCAGGTTCTCAAGATTAAATAGTGCACTTTCATTTTAGATGATTTATTTTAAAAGTTATGAAAAAGGTCATTGCCTGTTTATGAAATGCTACAGACTTCTCAATGTTATCATTTACATTGTCTAATCTAATATTTAGTTTTTTCATGTCGGTAATTCATCATAATTTATTCCAAATGTAATCTGATAATCATAATCGTATACTGTAGTAAACAAAAATTAGCGGGGACAACCAAATGTTCACGAATACAAAATCGCAGAATCTCTTAGTAAAATCTGAGAACCATTTAGTAAATACTTCATTTGCAAAATGTCAATCAGTTGTCTCAGACTTGATTGTTCCTTCGTTTTCACATCAATCATTCACTGTTCTCGTTCTCTCCTCTTCGGTCTTCTTGACCTTCTTCCGCGAGACATTTCACTTCAAATCGATGGTACATACTACTTTTATCTGTCAACATCAGTAGCATACACACAATACTATTGAGTATATTTACATAAACCTTGAAAAATGCATTCAACATCCCTAAGGACTATAGACTTCAAAATTCCATAAAAATTAACTTAATATTGGTTTGAATCTTGCCATTGATTTTTGGGAGTGCAAATGGTCAGTCTCCAACTGGCATATGTGCATACTGTGCGTATTGCCTCGATATAGCCTTAATTCACAAGCATTATAAGCAAAGATGGATAGTGGTTAGCAGTGGATTCCACTACATATTTACGCATAGCAGAATCAAATCATAATTATACTAAAATATAATAATAGGAAGAAATATAACTATGAAAACCTTGGTAATGATGCCTATGAAAAATATATCTTCATTAATTATATTTTGAAGTAATAACTTTTTAAAATTTCACTTTTCAAAATACTTTTTTCCATTTTATTTCAGAAAGGAAAGTTCTTCTGATTTGCTAAGCAGATATAAAGCAAGAAAAATGTTGGGAGTTGGTGAATCGTCTGGTAATGTCGTTTCTTCAAAAGTAAGCATGTTAACTGACATCATAGGCATCAGCAAAACAGAAATACCTATAAGATACTGTTCATCATGAAGTGGCCTTGTTTAGATAATTATTAATTCTTATGCAAAACTATAAACGAACTTCATTTTATCAAATAGGACCTCAACAATTATTGATCTTAACACAAAATAAGATCAAACCTACATCACTATAGCTGGGTAATTTGCACTTAAGGATGTAACCCTTGGTTCAGGAAAAAAATAACCATTTTTATCAACTTTGGTATTACTAAAACTTTAAGACTTCCTGATGTAAGCATACATTTTTTTTTCGCACTTAGTTCTCATAAGTTTAAACAAATCGGAATAAAAATATCTGTAGAATAAGGTGAATTAACTGTTTATCATGTTTCACTTTCATCTACATACAAGCTAATTACTATAGCTGGTTCGAAATATTGACACGAAATTTATAAGGAATAAATTGTCAGCAAACACTATTACAACTTTTTTGAAAGTAAGATTCTAATGAAAATTTTAGATTGCCATATCATTAGTATGAAATTAGCTTTATAAAACTGGTAATTTTACAAAGACTTTCCTGTTATCAAACAGGGGTTGTGAGTTAGAGTCTTTCAAGGGTAATTTTTAATAATGTAAAAAAATAACTTCTTCATATGTTAAACCATGACAGATCTCTTGATGTGTTCACTTTAGATAAGTAGTCTAGTGATACAGTAATTATGCATTAAAATATATGAATAACAGTTTATTTGTGCATAAACATAAAACTACTCACCGACCAAACAATTACATTTTTTTTCTATAGGAAGAGGTTTTGTGGATATTATAGTAATTTCAATAGTTGAGATCATGACTAAGTTGAAGCTAGACCACCATTGAAAACCTGGTAGCATTGGATGGCCGTTTCGTCACCAGTGACTGGCTTCAAGCGGCTATTCCCGGAGTTTTAGTGAGAAACAGTAACCAGTAGAGTTGAACCAGGTCTGTTGTGAGATAATAACTCACTGAAGAAATTGGTGGATGTGTAGCTCTATTTCGTGGATCGGTTGAAGTTAGACCTTAACACCGTTGGATGCCGGCTCAGTGGTTAAGCGCTTGTGCGCGAGACTGACAAGTCCTTGGTTTGAATCTCATGAGTCGAGATTGTGAATGTGCACTGCTGAGGAGTCCCACAATAGGATGAAACGGCCGTCCAGTGCTAGCAGGTTTTCCATGGTGGCCTAGCTTCAATTGACTCATGATCTCAGCTATTGAAATTACATTTTTTATTTGAGTATCAAATATATTCATACTAATAAACGAATTTAATCTTTTATCAATACCTTAATATTGATATCTTATGTGATAAGTCAATCTATAAGCTAAACCTAATATCTAGGAAGCATGTACTACCATCTAGATGTTTAAATGAAGTGAATAAATTCTGCTTATAATAATGACGCTGAATATGAGTATAGAAGAACAAATCATTAAGATAGCTCATTTTGCATGATCTTCATAAGCTTTATTCATACAAACCCAGCCACTTTAGCAGACAGTATCCTATACTATATGACTTTTTTCTCCACAAACCACTTAAAGGAAAAGAAACTAGCATAATGAAGATAGTTTTGGAGTAATCCATTTTCAAATTATCCATTTATTTCATCAAACTACTGATTCAAAATAAGTCAAATTACCATTAGAACTATCTAGATAATAGATTACTGTTACACATAAACCAACTGTTCATCTTGTTGTGCTAACGAGGTATGGCAACTTGGACCGATGCATATATGTACCTGGTCCTACGTCGTAGCTGACTGACTGAACTGTTTAAATTGGATTTCATTGTTTTTCAATACGTATTTAGAAAATACCCTGATCTACATTTATTCACATCATAAAAGTTGAACTCAATCAACGTAGAAAGTAATCATTAATTATTTACATCCTATTTTTATTTCTGTTATAAATTTAAAAATACATTCTAAGCAAATATATATGTGTGAAGATGATTGACTTATGTTGATTGAAAGCAAAATATTTCTTGTTGTTGTTGTTCTCTAAGTTTTGTATGAAAAATATTAATTGTAATTTGCTAGTGCAGAAACAATTTGTTCAGTTAATTAGAATTTATTTTTATATGCTTGAACATTAAGCATGACAGTTGTCCCTTAGTGCTTTGTCGACAAAAGATTATGTTTACTGTTGCATATTCATAAATGGTTATTTATTTAAGAATTATTGTTAAATTAAAAGAAACTCTTACTAACTCGAAAGTCTAAAGTGTGAATTACGTTATGAAGGAGTTATTCTTTCAAACTCACAGGTTGTTCTCATAAAAGTGAAACGACAACCTAAATAGCCATTTTAATGAATATCGATCTAACTGCCGGATAAAACTAATGATTGTCTGAATTAACTTATTTTCTGTATGTTATTAAACCAAGCACTTTAACATTCATCAGTTTGGTTCATGGAATTACGACATTTGGAAAATCAGTCAATGAAGGATATGACAAAAGCAATGCTAATGAGAAAGAAGCTTATAGTTCTTAACGATGGCCCAGATCAGTACATCAAAACAGATTCACAGTTGGGAACTATCTAAAGATAGTGAACTTCCTTGCCTTTAGATTCGCAAAACCCTTCGCTGTATATTAACGCATAATTTTTACTAATGATTTAATTCCAATCATCTGAAGCTAATTATATATGTCCCATAAAAACACGCCATTATAATACGCTCCAAATTGCAGGATTAAAAAAGGAAAAAGTAAAATCCAGATTTTGGAATGAAATTCTTAGTGTAACTTACATGCAATAATCGTTAAATGAAAGGAAAAGAGACCGAAAATGCCTGATATAACGCATAATTGGAACAATGAAAAACTAATATGCTATAAATCCATGAACATGCATCCTATCTTTTAATAGCAACTCAAAGATTTTAAAAGAACTTACACCAGCTTTAAGTTAAAAGAAATATAAGTAATTCAAGATTGACGTTAACTGTAATGAACCAATAAAGTATGAAAAATGAGCTGAACACGTTTGATTGCGGTTCAATATCTTGATTTTAACATATTTTCGCCATCATGTAACATACCTTGTTTATGTCAAATTAAATGAACATAAGAAAATATTTTCCACACGTTTAAAGTATTAAGCAGCTGATACACAGTCCCTAATTTGTATTAGGGTTCAAACTTTCATTCTTATCAGAATCACTTCTGTGACAGAACACTGAACTCTTTGAAATGTGATCATTATTAATAGAATACTGCAATATCACTCTTAAAGGCGACTGATGGAAAGTCATAAAGTTTGACCTTAGAACTTGATCCCAGTTACATTATTTGAACTAAATAGATACGTTCGTCACCAAAAAACCAAAGTTTGATACAATTTTTCCCACGAACAATCTAAATGGAGCAAGAACAACAAATGTTTATTGTTCTTGATATATTTCAAACCATCAAAGTGATCGTCATTACTGATAACTGAAAACTACTCACTACTGCACACAATATATAGCTATTTTAAATAAATATAAATAGAAACTCATAACATATTATGTGAAAGAATTTTGATCTTGATATAAAGTGAAATGATGACCTTTAATAAGTTGACCTCTATTTATACAGATCGTTTATTAAATTGTTGCTTTTCAAGATTATTGAGTCATTTGGTTGAAATGACCAGAAAACCCAATCGACTTCGAAGAGTTATTATTCCTCTAAAAAGTTAATGAGTAGTAGTGGTAGTAAATGTTGTACAGTCAATTATCACTGACCAGATTCTGTTAATCGATTCCTGACTAAAAAAATCGAGGATTTCATCTCATTACGTAAATATTTCTTTTTATCCAATCATATACAATTAACTGATAAACAGAATTACATTTGTATAACCTAATTAGTTTAAAAGAAAAATATAGTATACACTTACTTTTTTCCTCCCAGTAAACAAATACGTCCAATAATTAGTTCACTTATGTGAAAAGGAAACATCATTTATAAATATAATTTGAAAAAGAAAAGACTAGAATTGTTATTATTGCTGTTTACGTTATAATCTGAGAATTCATTGTTATTAGGATTCGGTAGGGGAAATAAAACAGTTGGCTGTATACATTTTTTGTAAGTTAGATTTTTCTCTATAATATATAATGGATAATTATGGGTTGACATAAGACGGTAGGAGATTTTAAATTTTAAAATATAATTAAAAATTATACTGATGTAATTTTTTTTTGTTTTTTGATTTCATTTCATTGTTGCTGTTTTTTTTGTTTCTACAGTTTCTAAAGTGAATTCTCTAGGAAAATATTCTGTTTTTTAATCAACTGACCTAAATTATTGAAATTTTTTGTCTTATAAATTAAACAAACCACACGTTAAATCAATTAGTGTCTTAATTCAGTTTTGATATTAATTCATTGTGTAAGAAATTTTAGAATTTATTTAACACTAAATGAAATTTAAAATGGAATATTTGCATGATAACAAGTGATTACACTTATGGTATATGTTATGAAATTAAACCGAACTTGTTCAATGAAGGTGCTCAATCTCTAGTTTAAGTGTATTTATAGACTGAGCTCGAATCGACTGATTACTTTCTCTAATATTATGAAGATTTTTATCTAACTAAGTGAACGTTAAACATTTATTTTACTATACTTCATTCTCTATGTCTTTTATTGAATGTGTTGAGGTGATCCTGAAAATTTCTCACAATAGACAAGAAAGGCTCAGGAAACATTAAGAAGCATTTTATCCAATCAGCGTTGACCAGACGTTTTGCCAGAAACATCACGAAAATGAAACGTCATATGTAGAGTTCCTGATTGGCTGATTACTACACTGCTACTATGTTTAGTAGCATTCCAGAATTTTCAGGAAAACCCAAGGACTTCTAAAATACTATGAAAACCTTATATTTTCCTTACACAAATGAACCTTTGGGGTAAAGTGCTTTTCATATATTTTGCGCCTTTTCTCTCGTGTTGAAGTCGCTGTGTAGATTTAGCTTGGTGTTTACGAGACTAGCTTAGGATCCGAGTATAGCGTTCAATTTGCAAGACTTATCAGAATGACACATTGGGTAAGAATGCCAGTATTTGCATTTTAAATCCTCGTAGTGTCACTAATTAAGCCAACGAATACTTTGTGATTACACAACTTATAAATCTATAAAGTTCAACCCAATCTATATTGTTTAGATACGGAACTGACATCCATAAATGTAATATCTATGATATAATAATGAATGAGTTAGTATAACCATAACCAAGAATCCATTTAACAGTCTTTATGTTGTGTTATCGTTTCAATGGTGATTAATTTTTAAACATGTGTTACTTATATTTGATAATTTCATTGAATCACGTTTTTCAAATATTTATGTAAGGACGGCCCGTCGGTAGACTCTAGAAAACCCTAAGAAGCCCAGGAAGAGCCGCAGACATTCCATCCAATCACGGCTAGGGGACTGTTCTAGAAATGCCAACGTGGAGCTTCTCCATTGGATGGATTAGTTTGATACCTATGTGCTTATTGGTTGACCTAAATGATAATTTATTTTCAGCCAATAACTATAAATACACGAGATTTCTGTGCTATATTTTGACACTGTTCGGGGCAATAACTTCCTGCTTACCAGTCTTTGTCTTCTCTCTCTTTGCGACGTTGCGGTTTCTATCGTTCAAGTAGTCAAGTATTTCGCGGCATATTAAGAATCAAGGCTCTAGATATAACAATTTATAAAATTCATATACTTCTTTTTTTTATTGTATATACTTATTGAAAATTTCCCTAGGTTGACAAATGTAAATTATAATTGAAATAATAATCTATGAAAAACAGATTATTCATTCTCTTTCTTATATTGTAAAATAAAAGTTTATATAAGGTTGTAGTGAACAAGAACTAAAGTGGGGACAATTGAATGTATTTAAGCACAAATTACAGACTATCTCAATAAAATCTGACAATCATACAGTGAATAGTTAATTTTCAAAATAACAATTAATTGTTTCGATATTAACTGTTCCTTCTGGAAATATCAATCCGTCTTCTCTGATTTCCTTGTTCATGGATTTTCGTACCGATTGCGCTTCATTTCTGTTCTTTCCTTATCGAGATTCTGCCAAAATATATTCTATGTCCGACTACCACCATATACTACTTATGTGGATATAAGTAGACTACACCACAGGATAAGAAAACTTTGAAAAAATCAAAGTTTTCATGTAAATGTTTTAAAAGATTAACAAAACTTAGATGTATATCAGTTAATTGTTTTAGATTACTTAATATTACATAAGAGCTATTCCTTTTGATTTTATCTATCATATAAGTTAATAATATTATAAACTTGTTTGATTTTATCTCTTACTGACAAAGTGATTCATTTCTAATTTATCTTTAGTTATGTTAGTAACATTAAGCAAGAAAATAAGTTGTTTTTTATTAGATGTTTACAAAAAAAGCCGTTTTAAAGAATATATATATTAAGCTGCAGCTGTTTATTCGCCGAACATCTTTTGATTTTCTGTATAGAATCTATTTCTATATTCATATTTACAATATACTTACCATAAGGTGATTAATTCTATCTTCTTCATTATTCAAGCGCATAGAAACGCCGGACCTATAAATATGCATAATGCAGAAGTAAGACAATACAAAAGCAGATAAGAATCTATGGTAGAAAAATAACTGGCCGAGTAATTGAATATTTTAGGCTGTAACATTAACAAATAGCCGAAAAAACGATGTTAGGAACTGGTGGAATTTATTACAGATGTGACTAAGGTTTATAGTCTTTCCATTTAATAACCATGTAAATGAAATAATGTATACGGTGAGTATTATAATCATGTCTGTGTTTCCTAGCGTATTCTGAAATATCGAAATGCAAGTTAGGTGATTACTTTAATAACCACTTTTTCTCTTTTTAGCAATATTCTGTTCATATAGTTGAGTAGTATACATTTTATAACATTTCTAAAGAACTGTTGTTTGTGAAACTATACTATCCATGCATGTTGACCGTTCCCACATTATGATCTCTTGGATAATTTAAAGTACTAAAAATAAAACACTCATTTTTTCTCCAGTACAAACAATCAAAAATGCGATATAACTTAAATTTGTATAATAATAATAATAATAATGATAAAGGTATATGGGCGAAAATATGAATTTTGATTAATTATTAGAAAAAATATTTATTAAATCATTATGGAAAAAACAACATTCCTTGATTAATGCTTGTTAAATTTATTTATACATGAACTGAATAAATACGAAATTCATTCAAAGAATTCGGTTGAAGTTATCTATTAATTTAATTATTTAAATTACCCATAGTGTTATTGAATAAGAAAAAAAAAAGAATTCAGCGAAAAAAAATTTCTTTTCGACGAAATTATTTTCTTTCTTCATCCCTTGATCAGTACGTAACCTCATTTGCTATTTATTGTTGAATCAATTTATAATGCTATCTTTCCTAGCCTCCCATAGACATATATTATCCATATAACTAAACTATATATGTGAATGTACAGCTTAAGTAAATGATTTCATCGAAAAGAGAAATCTCCTGACTGAATTCTCATTTTTCTTAGATTAATTACAATAATCAATCATACCCGAAAAATTTCAGAATATAATTTTATTTTATAAAATATTGTCATTCACTCATGGTGACTGATTTGATTGATAATTCAAATAATTACGTTATTCTAATGAATACTTCTCAGTTACCTTATTCTTCACTCATAAACAATATAAAAAATGTGCTCTAATGTGTGATTAATGTAGATGGATGTTTGCAAAGCTTTTCATCAATACTCAACAACTTTAAATCAATTATGTTACTCTAATATCATCGTAATTAAAAGGTTTAAACTAAATTTATGTGTTTAGAGGGGAACAGTAGTAAATCGCGTATCGCGTATTGCCCCCAAATGCCTTGGTACGGCCGAGAGTGGGAAGAGTCCGCTGTCCCTCTCCGAATGCTGTCCCATGGCCACGCGTACATAGCCTCTACCAGGGAAGTCCTACTCACTACCTTCTCGTGGCATTACTGTTGTTTACGAAATTCAGAGGACGAAAACGAATGTCCAGTGGTTTAACCGGGTTGGTGGACACGGAAATTCCACCTAAGGGAGTTGGAAAACCCTGATTCCAAACCAATGGTGCACATGAGCTCCAGTATTCTAAGGGAACAAATGGCGTAGAGATCTGTTGAGGATTAATTCCTCTATATCTGACTCCAATAAATAAATAATATCCCGATAACTGAATACTTAAGGCAGGCTAAATCTCCTAGTAGAATTATGGGTTTACTCGGGATTATTCAAAAGCATGAACACCAGTTATGGAGATAGTTTGTTGTTGAAGCTCGTTAAAAATCCGCAAGCGTACAGATAGCAAGCACACCGGGAAAACAAGTGAGTATGTGTCAATTAGTGTTAAAAATCCACATATATTTATGAGTGTCAATGGGTTGTGGATAAACTATTGATTGTCTTTGTTTACAATCAATGAGAGAACAGATCAAAGATTGATGTGCAGACACATGCGCTCAATCAGACTCACACATATATTTACAGTGGATTAAATGTTAAGATTACAAAGAACACACAAATAATACAGTAGTTGAATGGGCTTGCTACAGGTCAATCTTTGGTTACTAGCTACCATGGAACTGCATATCCTTACGTTGCTCCACTGCCTTGTGGATCAGACCTGTAAGTCAAAGACTGCGGGTGTTGCTTCCTAAGAAAACCACTTGCTTCGGTTTGGGCGCGCGGGCAGTATCACTGCCCTAACACAAATCAAAAGAGATTTGTGTGGCGCGTATGCATTTGGTGCCCCTTTGTACTAAAATTAATGTGTTTAAATAAAATAAAAATCGCTTATTACCATGGCGAATTCTATTTCTCATCATTCACTTATATACTATAATATTTCATATTCGTAATAACAAATCCATTTTTTTCATTTTCATGTCCTGTCAAGCTTCACTTGTTTTATTATGTTACTCTATCGAATTTTCGGTTGTTATTACGTAACTTTAACATCAATATTCATTCTCTAGAAATGTCTCTCCACGTATGTAAGAATTTCTCTTCTGGAATTTTTACACTTAATGACATAAATATTTATCCACTTTAACAATTTCTAATACTTCCAAACCTGTTATCATTATTCTACTAATCTTCACTACTATTATATAAAGTGTAAACATTAATACAAATAATTATCATAATCACTGCTAGCCACTATCCATATTTGCTTATAATGCTTGTGAATTAAGGCAATATAGAGGCAATACACACAGTATGCACATATGCCAATAAGAGACTGATTAATTGCAGTCCTAAGCATCAATGGGAAGATTCAAACAAATAATACTAAGTGAATTATCATAGTCGTTTCTACATTATAAGAAGTTGATGAAAATCCATGAAATAAATGAATTTGACTTATTTGGCTACGTTTGTTGTCCTTGCTTTGTTCAAATTAAAGTGAATTTATTTGACAATATTATATAATTAAATGAGTATTTTGTAATCAGAAAGAAGAAAATGAATTCATAGAAGTTTACTTAACATCAATGATAGTGTAGGTTTAAATGAGAAGGAACTTTACATCTAGCTGGATATTACCTTTAAATATTTAATGAATTCATTTACGTTATCCTATTCACAATCAGCTAGAGCTAAGAATTCGTTGTTCTTTTATTAGATAACACCTTCATTTTATGGTTAAAATCATGAGTCAATTGAAGCTAGACCGCCATGGAAAACTTGAAAGCACTGGACGACCGTTTCGTCCTATTACGGGACTCCTCAGTAGTGCGCATCCATGATCCCACCTCACGAGATTCGAACACAGGACCTATCAATCTCACGCGCGAGCGCTTAACCTCCAGACCACTGAGCCGGCATTCAACGGTGTTAATGTCTAACTTCAACCAACTCACGAATTCGAGCAACCGTCCACCATTGTCTTCAGTGAGTTACTATCTCGCAACAAACCTGGTTGAATTCCAATGATCACTGCTTCTCACTAGAACTCCAGTAAATATCTCTTGAAGCCAGTCACTAGTAAGCATATGATTATTATCAGAATGGGTTTTTTTTGCAAATTACAAATTTTACAAATATTTTAATTATTTTTTGTATATATACTTAGAAAATTGAGTGATGAAGCAAAAACATAACAAACAATTATTAAACTTTTTTTTATCCAATTCGTGAAATGCTATGAACATCTTTAGATCACGAGCATATGGGAAAATAAAAATCTTTCCCCCCCCAAAAAAACAACAACTTTATTTATTGTAATTAACAGGATATAAATGAACTCTTTGATTTGTACAAAAAAAATTACATGCATGATTTATTATGAAAACAAAATAACCCATGAACAAATCAAAGAAAAAAAATAGGGTAGGTTAATGAATCTAACTATTTGTTGAAGCATAGAGTAGAAATTTAAGTTTATAAGTACAAATGATGTTTGTTTAGTTATATATATTGAGCTAATCAAACAATCTTTTTGTTTATCCATAAAAGTTTAGTATAACTTAGGAGAAGAAAAAAAAACGTATATTTATATAACGGTCTACAACAAGACTACAAAACTTTAAAGAAGTTAATTTAAAAACGCCCTAAATAATTTTTATCCCCAAGGTGAAAACGCAAAATTTCTGTCTTTTACTTCCCAGTAATAATAATAATAAATGAATCCAGGATTCAGATAGCTAGCTGTCAACACAACCACAATTATTATGATTTAAATCTAGCGCTGCTGAAAAGCTTTATGTAACAGATATCTATAAATGAATGTCAATTAATGCAGACATTTATCATTGAATGAAGTAGTGCAAGGGGTTGCCAATCTCTTCATTAAGATGAAATAGATATATCTTGTCCTAGTTTAGAACTTGAGTAAAATTTATATTATCATCGGTAAAGGTTTTGCTTATCCCGTTGTCGATATAAAGGACTGAAGTCTGACCAACCTTTACTGGTATATTTCCATTCTGCATAGAATTCCTAGAAATAGCAATTTTGTCACAAGTTTTTAGAACAAGCGGATAGTGCATAGCAGTGGAGTCCAAGACGCGCATTCTGTTATGTCTAGGATTTGTCTTTCGAGTGGGAATAGTGTTTGAATTTAAAGGTACTGTGTTTAGGTCCCAGTGTGAAAATAATACTGGAATGCAATCACATCTAGCCGTTGAGTCCCATAGAGCATGAAACACATGTCCTAGATTCCAGTGCTAGTTATATTCGATCCATTCTAAAAACATGAACATAAGTTTCTAGTGCTTTCTTAGATGTTCAAGATAACTTGATCGAGTGATGTGATCAGTGAAAACAATTCTGTGTTATCCAGACCGCGGAATTTCTGCAAGACTAATGCGTCTCATTTAGCATTAACTCTGTAAACAAAACATCTGACATCAAATCAAAGTGGTTTACAATGTCAACCTCTTTAGCCTAGTGGATACATTGTCGAAGTGAATGATAAAATTATATCAACACTCCATAGCACGATATTAGCTACTACTACATGTATGATTACTATAAATTTAAATACTTTTTTATCTATATTTTGGGCTGATGTACTTTATTATGTTAACATAATGGAAAACAGTGATCGAATCTCCAAGGCACAAAATTAAATGAGAAGCGAAGAAATACTAAGGATAATTTTTCCTATGATATTATCGACATTAAAATTAAACATTTCCTTACAGTTCTAAAACTATTGTGTAAAATAGTATTTACTTACTTACTTACGCCTGTCACTCCCAATGGAGCATAGGCTAACGACCAGCAT